GCTTCGCACACGGGAGTCAAAAAAAATCATGAATTTTTGATAAATTTGGCTACTTTTAGTGACTGGGTGAAGTGTCATCCAAGCTACATGTGTACCAAGTATCAAAGAATTTGGACTGCTGGTTTTGAAGAACAAGTCAAAAGTACTATTTTTGATGAAAAATATTTGCTAAAAATAGAGAATTGAAGATGTCAACACAAAATGAACAAATCTGATAGAGGTCTACCCAAGGTATATACCACACAAGTTTGAGTGCAATCGGACCATCAGTTTTAGAGAAGAAGTCGAAAATAGCATTTTTGACCTAAAATTACAATTTTAAAATATTCGCCAAAATTAGGAAATTGAAAATTTCCTTACCAAATTAACAAAACTGATAGAGGACAACCCAAGGCACATGCACTATCAATATCAGCACTGTAGACCACTTAGTGTCATAGTAGCATAGAAGAAATTTTAGAGTTTAGGGGGCTAATTTGCATAATTTTTGGCAGATCAACTTCTCATGAACAAATTACCATCTACACTCATCAAGGCATCCGCACACCAAAAATCGAGTCAAACGGTTTGGTGGTTTTTGAGAAGAAGTCGTGCACAGACATTGGTGTTAAATGTGGCAGCAACAGATAAACTCACAACATTGGTTTTTTATTAATCCACTGAATCAACATCATCTTGGTGATTAACTCCTTAATCAAGATTACACAATCAAGTCATATACTCAATGGGAAAATATAAAAAAAAGTATATAAAAGTATGAAGAATTTTGCACCAAGATTTGGCAGGAAAAAATGTGTGAACTATCAATCACTTACTCCAGCTGATATCACCATGACAACAACTGGAACATTGTATGCAAAGTCCAATGAAAACATTCCATACTTACATTGGAGGAGTGTTAGTCTGTGCAATCAGTTCATCTTTTAGTTTAATCAGTTCTTTTAGTTTAGGATACTCTTCAAATCTATCCGCAAGACCTAATGACAACAAGTTATTGTCAATGACATAGTCCCTGTCTTTATGTGAGACATTAGATTTATATATGACCTAATGTGTGATGTATTTGTGAAGTTTAAATTTGATTGGTCCAGGCATGTATGAGATATGGCACTGAGGAATGGCATTCGTTTAAACAAAATGACCACCAGTCAGCCATTTTTGATTTGATGGTTATAAAAACGCATGTGCATTTGCCTGATATAGGTGTGAAATTTGAACTTGATCAGTTCATATATATACATGTATATGCGTTTGGAACCGGGACTAACAATAATACGTGTCACAGAATTGATACAAGTGAGTTGAACACCTTCAAGGTCAGCACATATGACATCATTCAATCCACTTTGATAGAAAGCTCAAAGTGAATCAAGAAAATCAAGCACCCACAGAAGAAATTATGTATGCATTCTTAATATCTAAATTGGGCTATAAACTGGGCTATCGTAATTCTCTTTTATAAAAATATACCACAAGGACAGATTTTAATAATAAGTTCAAATGCTGCAGCCCCCCCCCCCACAACCTAAAATCACCTGCAATTATATATTTCCAAAAGCTTGCATTGCTTCTGAATTGAGCAATGCATTAGATTCAAGTTATGTAACATTGTTTCTACAATAGCACATGGTAAATGTCCAGATATCTTAAACCCATTGCATTATGTTCTAGAATGTCATTCATATTATATACTCACCAACATCTCGTATAAAATTCTGTGGTCTCTGACCAGTGTCCAGGAAGTGTTGACAATAGTCATTGTGTGGGTTGGCGCTCTGCGTACCCTGCAGACAATATATATTTATATGAATTAATGACAAAAACTGAAAAAGATCTTTCAGAAAGCAAGTGGCATTACATCATCCAAACTGCATGGTTTTACCAAGTGAGGGTTTAATACACGGACAATGCCTGGCATACCACTTACTAAATAGAGTTTTTCCACTGATTTGAATAGTCTCTGATCGTTGTAAGACTACTATGCTACTCAAATGAATCATCAATGATATCTGGTTCACATTTCAGTGAATAAATTCAACACACATACACATATACAAATCATGATATTTTCATGTCAATGTGAGATACCTTTAGGAAAGTACTTGAATCAATGTATTCTTGTTCTGCATGTTCCTCATCAAAATCTTCTTCCTTATGCAATAACAAAAATAACTATTACAATTACAACTGGTTTATGTGAATGGTGGAACAGGTTGACATCGTACAGACAAGAAAGCATCATCTTGTCATTTCACAACACTAATTACCCATCCTACTATGTTCACTGTCAAGGCCTTATTACCAAGTCATGATCAAATGCATAGTCCCTGTTTGTGAGTTCAGTAACTTTATAATTTACATATTATTACAGTATCCTTTGACCGCCATTTTTTTCACACCAAAGATTTGGGTGCAACATTTTATATATATACACCGGTACATATATTTTTTTTACTAAATGAACATAATTTAATTACAACAAGACTTCATCAACATTTTTGAAAAATTAAGAAATAATTGTACAGATTTAATTTGATGAAAAAAAAGTATCAACAAGATTATTATGAAGCGTGCCTTAAAACAGGTTTCAAGACAAATTTGAATACAAAATAAATGAGCATTATTTTGGGGTTGTCCTTAACACACTTTCTAGATTTCCTAGATTTAATGTTAGGCATCACATGTCAGGTTCGTATCAATTCTTCTCAACACATGTCTAAGAAATTACAACGATGGACAGACAGAACTACAATAACTTGTCGACCATTTTTAGTAAACTACCAACAGAGTTCAAGCACTCATGATCATCTGATCAGAAACCAGAAAGATGTACACAACAACAAAGATTATGACAATACTGCGTAATAAATATGTCAAATAGATTTCATCTATGTTCAGATATTCACAATGCAATAATAATCCCACATTGCTAATTACAAGTATAGTGTGATAAAAACATTCAACCAACCTTTTTAGTTTTACTACTATCAAGAACGCTACCTTCTCCGGATTCATTAGAGACAGCCCTTCTCTTAGCTGGTGGAGTGTTAGTTGGATCTGGTGAACTGAGCACAATATGATTTACACATTATATAAAACATTATTTGTCATCAAGTGCAATATTCACAATGATATATTTGGTCGATTAAAACGCCTTCTATTTAAAAGTATTAGAATGCTACTCAGGGCTCAATTCGTTACATGAAGTTTTACTTAAAGCTATAAATAAGTTAAACATCACTTCCAAAATATGATATATTAAAAGTATATTCTGTCATCACATTCCCGCTCATTTCCTTTCTTTTGATTAAGTTATTGATTAACATCTTTCTAGGTCACAGGCTTGTATGACTACAACATACATGTATAACAGAGAGAGTACATTAATTTCATGAATTCCAATGCGAGGGCATCCATCCTTATTTGGTTGTATATATATTTTCCAAGGTTTATAAGCACTGTTACAGAGTTTGATGTCATTAAATTTTTTAAATTGTCACGAGTAGGATATGCCAAAAATATTTTGTAATCAATGTGGTTCTTAGCGTGAGATAGGGCACTCGAGAATGAAATGGAATTCACCCTTGACTGCATTTAATGAGCAAATCGCACATGTTCTCTCTTCACTCACTACATCTAAATAACGCCCCTCCTGAATATGTAATCTATGGCATGCACAGCGAATACGAGCAAGTGCATATCAGTGATTAACATTTGTGATTATCAACAAGTATCTTTCTGGCTGTAACATACTTATGAAATTACAATATGTGCGTAGTTTGTCACTAGTGCACATTTCACTGTAGCACTCTTGTTTATAACAATCAATTACCCGCTGTCTGAACTCCGCAATGAATAACTAGACATTTTCCACACCTTGGACGAACCACGAAATGCTGAATCCACACAAAAATTAAATATGTTCCCATTGTACATCGATCTATACACTTGTTTGGCGATTCAGATAAGTGTAACCAATAATACATTTAGCTATAGATTTTACATAAATAGGTGTTCTCCCACACTCCCCCAGCTCTGCTTCATTACATGTTTGCGACCCATAAAACGTGTTTACAATACTTTAATTGTATCTGTACAGCTTGCATGTATTTGTGGAACCCCCCTATGTTTCAGCACCATAGAGTATAATGGGCATGATCATTTCATTTGGAGAGTACTGCAAGCCATGAGACAAATTTACCTACAATGAACTGACTTTCAAGAACAAACAGTGAGTGTCTAAAGTTTACTAACTTAATTTAGGATTAAGTTAATTTCTCATTACCAATCCACAATCTCAATTTGATGGTGAATATATTAGTCAGGAGATGGTACGCCATAGATTTGCAAAGTGCAAATGTAACTTTAAACATATAAACATTACCAGATATAAACATTACCCGATATAGAAGTCCCTGCTTTCATTATCTGATTTATCTTCTTCTTTTTTGTCTTCCTTACCAGGCGTTGATTTCAGACTAGTGGGGTCAATCGCACCAAGCTGTAAATAATATATAAATAATGGTTGTCATTGGATACACAAATAGTGATTCCTATAGTATGGCTTGTTAATGACTACTTCACTTTAAATCTCAAAACTGAAGCATTTACTCAAGAAAACACAAAAGTTCAGGAGGCATTGACGGAAGACATAAATAAGAATTGGCATTCCAAAATGATATATACACCGAAATACACAACTGTATATTCATGTTATACTTATTGGGCATTATTTTGTATTGAGTATATGTGTGTATGAATGTAATTACATCCAGCTGGAGGACAGAAACCCAGTATAAAGTAAAAACTACAAAATGTATTATTATACATCTGT